GATATGTTTTATTAGTTTGCAATGTAGTCAACACAGACCTCCTCTGACCAATCAGAGAGCTCCGTTAGCCCTATACCGGCGTGTTCACACAGTATGTACACACGTTCATACGATACGCTTTGAGGATCAGACCCCAGCTAAAAACTCTAAGAAATACACAGTATCCAATGTATTTCACTGCGTTTTTTAATGAGCATGCCTGAGTAAAATATGTACATACTACTCATAATTTTATTAAAAATTTAATCCTTAGAATGGTTGTCGATGTATAAACACATAACTTTCTGATGATAGTAATGCTTAGCAGTCTGCTAGCAGAAGACAAACCTATCGTTTAGTTTCACATATTAGCACAGGTATTGCTGCGATCGCTTTTTCAGCTTGTGCACGTAGCGAACAGGCGCTTGTGTTATTAATAATTATTTATTTAAGAGAGTGGCCAGTAAGCACACGGGGTCATCAGGTGATGGATGCTTTTGTTATTGGACCTTATTTGAATCTCGCGCGTGACCTCCGGTACTATTTTTTTTTTTTGATTTAGTGATTTCCCACGTCAGAGAGGTTGGGTCCTAGAGAATTCTCAAATCTGGCCGGACCTATATCCCATTACTGGAGTAGGGTCATGTGGGTTTGGCGCACTACATTCTTCTATCTCTATGGTCTATACCTACTCTGCTATAAAAGACGGATTTAAGTCGATTCAAAATTAATCGGGTTGAATCGACTTGAATAGGTCTAATTGGCTAACACTATTTGGTCGATTGAAATGAATCGGCTTTAATAGGACTTTAGAATATATTAGTTTTTAATCGACTTTAATAGTCACTAGTGTCGTTAAAGTTAATCGTCTTGAATAGGCATTTTGGATCTGGGCATGTCAATCGGTTTCAATAGGCAAAAGTGATACTGAAGTCAATGGACTTGATTGCGCATTTTGTTGTAGTTTCCTATTACTACAATAAATTTTATTTCATTGACATGAATAGAAAATTGTCAATGCACTATTCATTTTAATCGGCTTTAGTAGAAATTTTCACTATTTAAAGTCTGTCTCCCCTTTTTTCTAAATTAAATTTTTAGTAACTTTGAACATTTTGCCAACAAATTTTTCATCGTGTTTGTATTTCGATTTAGTTAAATAATGTTTGATAACTTAAATACAATCTACTAGCGAGTTTTAATCTAGTTTGTCCGAAAATATAGCAAAACAGAAAAAATAAAGTCCATAACAAAGATAACTAACTTAAAATTATTAAAAGTCACATAATATAAAGTAGATTAAAATAGACTAAAAAATCTGTTATTAAAGCCAATTATATTGCTCTCGTCCAAAATGCCGATTCAAGTCGATTGACTTTAATGCTACTTTCGTCTACTAAAGTCGATTTATTAACAAACCACATAGTTGTACGTATGGAAAAAGAGTTTTTTTTCTTAAATATAAATAAAAATAGATTTAAATACAGTTCTGATTAATAAAATTCACTTAAATTCTTTGAATATCAATTGAAATTAAACTAAAGTATATATACGATAAAATTACATTATTTGTCTCGTTTAGCTTAGTCGACTTAGTGTTAGCCTCCCGACCCAAAGGACCCGGGTTCAAATCCCCGCTACTGTAACATTTAAACTTATATAGTAAATTCATAACAACAAATTCAGGATTTTCAACAACGTATATGTGTCCAAAATAGTTGTACAATTATTCGGAGATAAAAAATTTTTTTATAATATTTATTTTTTGCATTCCCTCTAATCGGGTTGAATGGACTTGACTCATTCCAATCAATTATTCATTACCCGGCTAAAAATCGAGAATGTCACGTTAATTATTATGTGATAAATAGCGTGATTTTTGCACATCAGGTGATTATTTGCGTGATTTATTACGTGATTTGTTACAATTCGATAACGTCACGCAATAAATAACGTGATTTTTTTTGGCCGCGTAACACATTACAATCGACTTGAATCGGCGTTAATATAATTAATCGGTTCCAATATAATTTTTTGGTATCAAGATTCACCGTTGGAACCGATTAAAATTTTTTGAATTGACTTGAATCGACCTTTTATAGCATGGTATACACTAAAATAGTGACATAGTCATGATGCTGCCCCAGCGACTAAGATTGGCAGCTTAAGGAGGTTCGGGAGTATCCTGATCGGAAAGTTAGCAGGGCTCCCACGCTAGGTAGCTGGGGCCTATGTGAGTTGCCTAGGTGGTACCAAGCTAGGATTGTAATGGGGCTCTGGGTGGGCGCTAACTGAGGACAAGAATTTCCTCGTAAGCATCGAGAGATTCGAGAGCAGAGAGGTATATACATATTTATTTTTGGGGACTGCTGTATAACTGTGTATATTGCAGATTGTATGTGTGTATTAAAAAGTAAAGCAGCAATTACTGATATTAAGTATTAAATACGAAGATTAACTGAAGTTTCATTATTTTAATAAATTACTACGGGTGACAAAGAATAGCGTTTATTGTTGTTACATTTAAAAAGAGTTCGTGAGTAAATAAAATTTTGAAGCGTGGAATAATCAATGAAGTGGGAGTATTTAATAATGGGAGTAATTTGCAAATAAATTATGCTAATGAATGTCATCAAGAATTAGACTTATATGCGTCGCCTACATTAATTATTAAATTTTATTTTTAAATCTCTCAATTACTGTCATCATTATTATCATCATCATTGTAATTATAATCATCATAAAAATCATCAAATTTTTATTATTAAATTTTATTTTTATCGTTTTCAGTAATATCGTTATCACTATTATACTCCTTATTGACCTTATTGTGATTATAAATTATTGTCATCCTAATCATTATGATTTTTATCATTACGATTATTATTATTGTTGTCATTCTCGTGATTATCATCATTATTGTTAAAATTATATCCTATTTATCCTAATCATTATTATTATCATTATTATTATTGTCATCACCATTATCATTATTATCGTTAACGCCATTACTATTGTCATCATCATCATCATCATCATCATCATCATCATCATCATCATCATCATCATCATCATCATAATCATAATCATTGGTTTCTTTATAATAATCGTAANAATGTCATTAAGAATTAGACTTATATGCGTCGCCTACATTAATTATTAAATTTTATTTTTAAATTTTTTATTTTTCTAACCCTGTCCTTTATAGGTTAATTGGGATGCCAACATTGGCCCCACACAATGCCCCATTATACTGCACCATCTACCTCTATGTATTTGCCCTGTTTGGACCTACATAGATAACTGGGTAACCAATGTAGTGTAGGCCCAACATATGAAGCCCTCTTAAGCTTTCCGATCGAGAAATATCATTCAAAGGGACGTGGAAGGGGGAGTCCCCTCTGCCCGCTCAACTTGGCCCCCATTACCGCTCACCCTCTCTTGCACCCCACAAACTCAATATTTTCCTTACGTTTAACGTTTGCATTGTTTAAAATGCACTATAACATGCCTCTAAATTTTGCTCACTAAATAAACAATAATTAAACAATAATTAACTCGTAAGTAGATTTTTTCAATACTTTTGCATTTTTTAAAAAGTTATGTCCATTTAAGCGAGACAAAGAGATTACTTTCCACCAGAGCATATGTTAATTACATGATTTTTGTTTGTATAATTTTTTTTTTTTAATGACCTGTAACAAATATTGAAAAAATTCACATAAGTTCTACGTAGCTAGACTGTCAAGAAAACTATATTATTGTGATCTCTGCAATTTATTATTACTCCCGAACCTCAATTTTTTTTCCAATCGGATAAACTGCTTGCAGCGTTTGTGGAATACCATAGAGATAATATTATCTCTACGTGGAATACACCTTGAATAGCCCCTCACAAGACATCGAGCGTTTTAATCTGAGTATGAAAAAGGACCCTTAGCCTTACCTAAGAAAAGCATAACTGATGTTCGTTGAGTACCGTTAAGCGAACAATGTCTTTGACTTTACCTGTCTACCACTCAATTGATATGTGTTGAGCTAAACGTTCTTGTTAATCCCAAGAGTCGTCTGTCATAGTTCGACTTGCTTGGGTGACTTCTATCGCTCGTCAATTTCTTATCGCCATTACTTAATCCAGGATAATACCAAGTTTTGACTGCTGATATGTACAGCCGTAGACGAATAAATAATTTTACTTATGTTAGCCCCTGTGTAAAATATATGATTTTTATGCTCAATTTCGTCTTTTGGGTAAGATGTTTTACTTACACTTACAATACTTCTATCACTACTACTACTACTACTACTACTACTACTACTACTACTACTACAACTACTACTACTACTACTACGACTACTACTACTACTACTACTACTACTGCTACTACTACTACTACTACTACTACTACTACTACTACTACTACTACTACTACTACTGCTACTACTGCTACTACTACTACTACTACTACTACTACTACTACTACTACTACTACTACTACTACTACAACTACTACTACTACTACTACTACTACTACTACTACTACTACAACTACTACTACAACTACTACTACTACTACTACTACTACTACTACTACTACTACTACTACTACTACTACTACATTTATCATTACTTTCACTCCTATTATAGCCATTACAATTATTGTTCTGATTATTAATATTTTTAGTGTTTTTTAAATTACTTTCATTATTATTATTACTGTTACTGAAACTTAAATTGTGTTGTATGACTATCCACTGTCGTTTGACTTTCTGCTCTATCTCTGTTGGGTTATTCTTTTTAACTTATCTATACTATTCAAGTCTCCTGGACTTAATGCAAATAATTTTTCAGCTATTTGGTGGCTTACTTATTGGAGTTGGACTATATGCCTTTGTTGACAAGTGGCACATGACTGGATCTGTTAGAGTTGAAACCGTTTATGATATTGTTCTCAATATTTCCCTTGTCATGATTATTTCTGGTGCAGTAGTTTTTATTGTCAGTTTTGCAGGATGTGTTGGTGCATTAAGAGAAAATACCTGTCTATTAAAGTTTGTAAGTTTTTTCATAAATTCGCTTTTTACTTGTTACAAGCATTATTTACCCAAAAATAAATGGCTCCGTGGCACTATCTGGCCACACAATTTTTTACTTGAAAAAGAGTTGTAGTAGGAGGGAAGGATTGTTTGAGTATACCCATGAAGTCTTCAAGTCAGGAAATGCCTGTAAATTGCAAAATAAACATGGGGTCGTTAATTCCATTATACGCTTACTGGGATATGGTAATTTTGTAGGGGAGCCACTTTATTAGGTACTGCATGCCGTGTCTATTGCTTCCTGGACACAAATTAACTCTATTTTGACGATTTTCGAGAAAAACAGCTTTAAAAGTTGCAAAGGTACTTTTTGGCAGTGCAGCAACTGCACGTTTCTTGCTGTGGCTAACGTTAGGTACTAAGACAAGATTTTATAATTTTACATGAGTGATCAAAAACTGCCATAAACTTCGTTGCTACAAGTTGCTTTTGGAGGTATTCGGTTAGGCTGGGAACCTAGAACTTATTCGATCATTCAAATTTTTAAATATTCAACTAAAAGACATATTTAACCACGAGGATATACACCGTGCCTGCTTATTAATTAGTTCTAATTTAGTAGTAGATTGTTATTACTCAAACATAGCACTGTGGTACTTTGTACAGTTCTCTCAACCAAACAATGGCCCCCACGAAAAGTAACAGATTCCAATTGAAAGTGTCCAATAAAAACTGATCAAAAATTTTTTTGTCTGTTTCTATTCAGTTTTGCACTTGGAAAACCACATAAAACACAATGTTCAAAATTTGACGCTTTTTATATATATATTTTTTACCAGCACAAGATTAAACATAAGTAAATTGACTAATAACATACTATCATGCAGATGGCAGCACTAAAACAGGGGGGGGGGGTTCAAGTATTTTACATGGAATTTAAAAAAAAATGAAAAATAAACTTTTTATTACAATTCCACGTAAAATACTTGAACCCCCCTGTTTTGTTATTACCATCCAGATAGTAGGTTCTAATGAGTCAATTTACTTATGTTTAATTTTGTGTTAGTAAAGAAATAAATATAAGAATCGTCAAATTTTGAACGTTATTGTGTTTTATGTGGTTTTTCAAGTGTCAAAAACCAAAAGTCAAAAACTGACTTAAAACAGATAGAAAACAATTTTTATCAGTTTTTATTAGACACTTTCAATCGGGATTCATTGTTTCCCTTTTAAAACGACAATGACAATTTTTAACCTAGTTACTCTTATCAGAAACAAGGCTTGGGCTGCAATTGCAGGGATTTTAACTTATTTGGAGTGCCAATCGCCGAAGTAAATTCACGTTAGGTAATGGATTTTGGCACCTGTGCAAAAAAGAGAGGAGTACGCTTTTTACGACATGGTTCCGACATTAGCGCCCATTTACCCTTATAATAAAATAATAAAATTTTGTAAATATGTGGTTATCGTGCTATTAGAATTCAATAATACACTATCCTTATCCCTGCATTTTGCAGTGAAAATTTGAGGCCTGGCAACTAGTTTCTCTCTCTTATAACAGCCAAAATTTGACGTAATTTGCATATATCGTGCCGTATGTATTCTGTACAAGAACAAAATTAATTATTTGAAAAGTCACACATTTCCATACAATTTTTTGAAGTTATACTTCTATAGGCGCGTTATGTGCGGGGATAAATGAACGATTTTAGATTTTGACCTTGAGAAAAAGTGTGACTGAAGTGGATTCTCCCCCATCGCCCCGCCCCTTATGACGTACTTCCGGTTTCCTCTACACCACATGATGCCACATTAAATCACCATGCCACATATTTTAAATTTTCTGAATTTTGTTTCTTTTTCTTTTAACCAACTCAACTTTTAACCAAAAAAAAAAAAAAAAAAAAAAAAAAAAAAAAAAAACAGTTTCCGAAGAGATTAGAACCCCCGACCTCTTACTTTCTGGCTACAGCCCTTACCTACTCTGCTATGAGCAGGCCCAACAGTGGAAAATCAATTACTCATATTATCATGCAGTTTGCAACTTATTTTTTATGTACATTTTTATTTAGTGTACTTAAATTTATTTGGTTTAGTTACAAATTAGTTAAATAAACAATTTACTTGATAAAATAATTTTTTTTGAAATGTTTTTCAAAAAACTTGGCAGTTAGTATATTTTAGCAGAGAACCCTTCTAATTCATTCATAAATATTTATTCCTACGTATTCAATTTGTTACTTTTGCAATAAATGAATAATTTTTCATACAATTCTTTCATATTTTTTCAAAATTTTCAAAAGTTACAAAAAATTTTTGTATACTCTACTAGTACTACAATCGATTTTTATTGTATTGTATTCTTTTAAAGACTTTTCATTCGTGATTAAAGTAATTTTTTGAAAAGAGGTTTGGGAGTAAAGTTCGAAATGTAGAAACGTACCCAAAAAAATGTATGTTATATTTGAGCATATTAGGAGTGCACATGAATTTTTTCAGATCTTTCACCAGGAAAAATTTTCGAGAAAAAAATCATTACATATTTACAGTTTAACACGGTCTCTCATGAGAAAACAAGGTTAGGTTTTTAACTGAAATTAAGTATATTCTAAATTAGGTATATTCTAAATATGTTGGAATAAAAAAAAACGTTTTCATTGATACCTTGGTACAAAAAGAAGATGCTAGACAATAAAAATCAAACCTTGCCAAGCATTTTTCAAAAATATAATCAATTACAGTCGTACAGTTTCAAGTTTGTAGAGTGCAAGAGGAGGTGCGCAGTAAGGAGGGCCCAGCTACGCGGGCAGGGGGTACTCCCCGCTCCGCGCCTCTCTGAATGATACTCCCAAACCTCCTTAAGGACGTTTTTCACATAGTTTTTGGGGGGAAAGTTCAGAGAAATGACAGGAACGCCAATGTGGACAGTAAAGCTAGCAATTCTTTTTATTACGTGAATGTACTCATATACATTATTTTAAGCACACCTCATCCTCTCTTTCTAAATTTATTTAAAATTTAACTTGTGGGTCCATTTAAAAATTCGATAGGTTTTTCTAAAAGGAATCTTTTGTACCCAAAAATTTAGGAGATTCCTACAAATCATGTGAATGCCATTTGATGTAATTTTTTCATATGGTTACATGTTAAATATACATTTTTTTAAATGTATCATGTATAAAATAATGGTACATTCAAACGAACTGCAATGTTCGTGGGTATTTTTAATGCTATTTTAATATACGTTTGACGCTTGAATAATATCTGTCAAAAAAACCTACGTGTGATAAACGTCCTGAAGGGACATTCGCTGGCACGTAATATTACCCTACTGAAGAAAACTATACTACAGGATGGTTTTTCTTAATTTTGTAAATACAATTATACTTGGGGTATTAAGTATGGACGAGAAATAATTGTGGGATCGTGCATGATAGATGTGAGCGTGACGTTACAGATGTAATCAGCATAGGCAGTAGAATGTTCTAAAATCACCGGAAGATTCGATGAAAGTGCACTGTCTTTGACTGGCCAGTCTATATATTATTTTTATTGTATTGTGCCGTAATATATTGTTTATAATCGTTAACTCGTTAAATAATAATTAAAATCACACCCAATCAACGTAGGTATACTCATTCTCACGATGATTGCACCACCTTCGTACACAGTATAGTTTCATAGAAGGTATTTTTATACTTAAAATATATTGTTTGCCATGTAATTTTATACAAGTATAACTCCATACTTGGGTACCCAAGCATCCTCTGTCCACTATTTTAAAGGGTGAAAATTACTAAATACAATATTCTTCAATGAGTTGCACACCTTAAAATCATTAATTTTTGCTGCAGAAACGATTTTTTTATGTCACTTATTAGATTGGGCCAAGACAAAAGTTATGTAATCGGTTGGGCCAGGAAAATGGCAGTTAATCGATTAGGTTTCGTGCCGATTACAGGAAATTGGTAATTCGAATCATTTCAACAGTTTGTTTGGACAAAAGTACACTAAAAGAAGATGTGCTTCCCGATCCTCACTCAATTTGAAAAAAAGGAGTTTGTAAATGTACGGTTGGTAAATTTTACTGTAGATACCAATAGGGATTTGTATTTTATAGCATGAACTTAGTTATTTTGCAATAATAAAAAATTTCCATACTCCAAAACTTCATGTGGACTCTTTTTTATCACTTTTCCCTGTCCCTCTCTTCCCTCTGATTTTTTCGTGTGGTCAGATTATAAATTGTAACTGAATAAATGTCTTAAGTACTTGTATTTTATGCAGCTCGAATATTAGTTGAAACAGTTTAAGAAAATATACTCTTTTATACAGTTGTTCTTCAAATTTATAGGAAAGTTGGTGTGCTTGCAAATAGTAGTATCAAGATACCAAACTAGACTAACGAAAAAAAAAGTTTACGTTGAGTACATAAAAAAATTGTCTTAGTAGCATTAACTATTACAAAAAATCTTGAGTTCATATACTTTCATTACGAGTATTGTTGTACAGAACAGTAGAATAATTTTAAAGTTCAACATACACCTTTAAAAATAGAAAAAAATTTTAACAACTAGGAAAATTACTAGTCATTGGCTTTGGTTTTTACCTGTTGAGTCAGGTATCTGAGGCTTAAAAAATGTATTTTTCTAGACCCAAATGAAAAAATCTGAAAAAATTCTTACTAGTGCAGAATTTCGTCAGGAATTTGGATCCGAGAAAATAGCATTTGTAAAGTTCAATTTTATTCAGTTTTGTGGGTTTATCTCTGCTTCTAGAAACAGAGAGTTAGAAAAAAAAGAACTAATCAATTGTCATAAAATAACTGACTAGATGTAATATTTTTTATATGCAATTGTCAGATTATCAGCTGTATGTGTGTGTGCGAATGGCTACGTAAAGGAACATACTTTATTTATAATTTAACTTACATGGTTGCCATAACTTACACAGGGCCACATAAACTATATTATTATCGAAATTACTACCGAACGCTAATTACGAAGCTCACAGCGATAT